ATGGGTTTGTTCCTGAACGGAACAGAACCAGAATGGCCCCCATGACACCTTTCTCCAAGGAAAGTTGCACCTAGAAGGAGCTGGGCCTCTGGTGACAGCTGGAGGAGTCACTCTGAAGCCTCTCCTCCCACATTCACTGTCATCTCTAATAATGGAAATTAGCTGAAGTATGGAAAGGGAAAAATTGATGGCTGAAGATGAGCGTTGGTGATTGTATTAGTCAGGGCTCTCCAGAGAATCAGAACCAGTTGGTCCACGTGATTATGGAAACCCAGGAGATCCATGATGGTCTCTTTGCAAACTGAAGAACCAGAAAAGCCAGTGGTACAATTTGGTCCATGTCGAAAGGTCTGAGAACCAGGGTCAGGTGGCTGATGCTAGTCCTGGAGTCTGAAGACCTGAGAACCAGGAGCTCTGATGTCAAAGGGCAGGAGAAAATGGATAGCCCAGCTAAAGAAGAGGGCAAATTCATCCTTTCTCCACCTTTTAGTTCTTTTTGGGCCCTCAACAGATTGGGGACCCTAATGAGGGTGATTATTCTTACCCTGTGAGGTAAGAATTAGTGAAGGTGATTATTCCTACCCTATCAATTCAAATGCTAATCTCTTCTAGAAACACCCTCACAGACACACCCGGAAGTAATGTTTTACCAACTATCTTGGCATCCTTTAATCCCGTCAAGTTGACACATAAAATTAATCATCACAAGTTCACTCACCCCTTATCAACCTGGCACTTATGTATATCTCTTTAAACCATACTTAATCTCCAAATAAATACAATATCAAGGTCAAAATCCCATGTAACATCATACATGGGACCAAAAACGCACTGATCCCTTAACCCAAAGAGGAGATAAGATCCTTGAGTAATGTTTACTCTTCTCCTGGAATCCTTAACTTAAATACTATGACGTAAAATAGGGCCAGGTGTGGTGCCTCACATCTGTAATCCCAGCACTTTGGGAGACTGAGGTGGGCAGATCACAAGGTCAGGAGTTCGAGCCCAGCCTGGCCAACATGGTGAAACTGAGTCTCTACTAAAAATATAAAAATTAGCTGGGTGTGGGGCACGTACCTGTAATCCCACCTACTTGGGAGGCTGAGACAGGAGAATCGCTTGAATCAGGGAGGCGGAGGTTGCAGTGAGCCTAGATCATGCCACTGTACTCCAGTCTGATGAAAGAGTGAGACTCTGTCTAAAAAAAAAAATACTATGATGTAAAATTAATAATGCTTAAATATGGATGTAAAGTCAATACAGCTGATGTTACTATGATAAGGGAATGGGAAAGAATGCAAAGATACTTGCTTTACACACACAAATATATTTATAACAGAAGGAGGATATATGCCGGACAATCACAATTCTCATTTCTGTAACTGGTAACATAGTTGTAGCTGGTATTTATAAGGACCTTCTTCTACTACCCATTCTGTATTCCCATTGCTTTCAGCAAGCACCTCAGCTGGTTGTGGTTCTTTATCACAGGATAAAGGTGACCCAGACCTTTATTTTTGAAGGGTCTGGGACATTCATAGTTTTGCCTGGACTTGGTTGTTGTAGTTTCCTATTGACCTTAATCAGAGGACACAACAATACTAAGAAACTCCCTAAGAAATTTATATTCCGCACATAATCTTCTTTACCTCAATTGTGTAGTAGTAGTTCAGTTTCCCCTTAGTAGATTGGAACAACCACCCAGCTAACACTTTAACTCCCTTCTTTGCTTGTTGACATAGAGGCATTAGGAGCCCAACATGGTGGGTGGCAAGTCTTAACTTCCAGTTTAATGGAATCATTGCTGTATCTCCTGGTGGAAGCATTCCTCCCTCTAGGTTTATGACCTCTAGGCCAATAGAGCATAAAATCATGGAAACAAGCAAAAAATTTGTCAGTGTGTCTCTAGGGGTAATAGTAAATGTTGCCACAACCGTTTTTCACCCCTTGATTCCTGGACCTATGATCCTGGCTATGGGAGAAACAGCACCATATATTGGTTGCTGATTCAAAGTATATATAACCTCATGGAGAACCTTGCCCAATCGCTGCACCTAGCTGGAGCTATAACTGAGTCTCAAAAGGCCATTCCACCATTCTATCAAGATAGCTGCTTCAGGATGGTAGGGAATAAGGTAAGACCAGTGAATTCCATGAGTATGGGCCCATTGCTGCAATTTTTTGCTGTGATTAGAAGTAATGCCATGCACAATACCATGATGGTGGATAAAGCATTTTGTAAGTACATGGACAGTAGTTTTGTGTTCAGGGAAGGAAAATACATGTGCAGAGTTTGCATGCAGGGAAGGAAAGTCCATGTACACTGTTGTCTATTCCAGTAAGGACAAAATGCTGCTCCTTCCATGACAGAAGTAATTTAGTGTAATGAATCTGCCACGCGGTAGCTGTCTAATCACCCTGGAGAATGGTGCCATGCTGGAGGCTCTGTGTTGGTCCCTGCTGCTGACACATGAGTCACTCAGCACTGGCTATAACAAGGGTGAGCCTAGGTGAGTGGAAGTCCATGTTGCTAAGTTCATTCATGACCTCCATCCCTGGCACCATGGCCACGTTGTTCATGAGCCCACTGTGTGATGACAGGGTTGGCTAGCGAAAGAGGCTGATTAGTATCCACAGAACAGGTCATCCTAGTCACTTGACTATTAAAATACTTTTTGGCCAAAGTCACCTTTTGGTGAGCATTCTTTTGGGATACAAATATCTGCATATGTTTTGCTCAAAGGGATCTATCCACATATCTCTTCCCTAAATTTCTTGTCGCCTATTTTCTAAGTATGTTCTTCCAAGTTCCTGAACGTCCAGCCAAACCATTGGCTATAGTTCTTGAATCAGTATATAATCACATGTCTGGACACTTTTTGTTTTAAGGAAAGTGCACAACCAGGTGCAATGCCTGAAGTTCTGCCCACTAGGAGAATATTCCTTCAACACTGCCTTTCAGAGATGTCCCAGAGAGATGTTCTAGTGCTACAGCAGTCCACTCTTGGGTAGTGCCTGTATGTCACACAGAACCATCTGTAAACCAGAGCCAAGTCTTCACTTCCTCTGTCAACTGACTGTAGGGAAATCTTCATGGAGCCATGGGTGCAGCTGGAAGAGAGAAGACAATAGCAGGGATGAGAACCATGGATCACTTTATATAACTTCCTTGTGCCTTCAGGGTTTGCTTGGGCTCAGTTATATATATACCACTTCCATTTGATGATAGACTATTGCTGTGCATACCCAGTGTTATGATTTGATGGGTCAGCTAAAACTCAGTTCATGATGGACAGTTCAGATTGTATAGTAACTTGGTGATCCGTGGTTAAGCATTTAGTTTCTACTAAGGCCCAGTAGCAGGCCGAGAGCTGTCTCTCAAAAGAAGAATCATTACCTGCAGATGATGGCATAGCTTTGCTCTAAAATTCTGAAGCCTTAAACTGCAATTCATCTGTGGGAGCTTACAAAAAGATATAAACAGCATCCCTATCTGCCGTTGACACCTCAAGTACCATAGAATCTACTGGATCATATGGCCTAAGGGGAAGAGCAGCTTACATAGCCTCCTGGATCTGTTGTAGAACATTTTCCTGTTCTGGGACCCACTCAAAGCTAGTAACTTTTTGGTCAGAGGTAAATGGGCCAGAATAACATGCTTAAATAAGAAATTCATTGCCTCCAAAATCCACATAGGCCTCTAGCCTTTTTTTCCCCTTTGGTTAGAGGCCAGGTGCAACAATGTAGCCTCCTCCTTAGAAGAGCTATCTCAACATGCCCACACCATAGACCCCAAGAAATTTAACTGAGATACATAGATTGCACCTGAATTTTAGTTGGATTTATTTCCCAACCTCTAACACATAAATGATTACCAATCATATCTAGAGTAGTTGCTACTTTTTGCTCACTAGGTCCAATTAGCATAATGTCATCAATGTAATGAACCCGTATGATGTCTTGTGGAAGGGGAAGGTGATCAAGATCCCTGTGTACTTGACATTGTCTAAATTGTGACATAGAACTGGAGAGTTAATATAACCCTGAGGTAGGAAAATGAAGGTGTATTGCTGGCCTTGCCAGCTGAAAGAAAACTGTTTCTGGTGGGCCTTGTTGACAGAAATGGAGAAGAGGGCATCTGCCAGATAAGCTATTTACCAGGTACCAGGGGATGTGTTTCTTTGCTCAAGCAATGAAATTAAATCTGGCACAGCAGCTGGAACTATAGTCACCACTTGGTTAAGCTTACAATAATCCACTATCATTCTTCCAGCTCCATCTGTCTTCTGCATAGACCAAATAGGAGTGTTGAATGGGGATGTGATGAGAGTCACTACCTCTGCATCTTTCAAGTCCTTAATGGTAGCACTAATCTCTGCATTCCCTCCATGAATGTAGTAATGCTTTTTATTTACTATTTTTTGAGATGGAGGCAATTCTAGAACTGCTTCCCCTTGGTCTTCTTCATCATAATAGACCCAAGTCCACAAGTTAAGGAACCAATGTGAGGATTCTATCAGTGGCTAAGTATGTCATTCCAATTATGTTTTCTGGAACTGGGAAATAACTACAGGATGAGTTCTGAGACCTATTATGAGATGAACGAGCTGAAACTTCCATTGACTACCTGACCTCTATAAGCTCCTACTCTGAATGAGGGGCTACAGTGACGTTTTGGGTTTCCTGGAATCAGTGTCAGTTCAGATCCAGTGTTCAGTAGTCACCCAAAAGTCTGATTATATCTTTTCCACTGGTGCGTGGTTACCCTGCTAAAAGTCTATAGGTCCTTTTAGAGAAGGCTGGGAGAAAGATTCACAGTATAAATTTTCATTTGAGGGCTTCTGGGTCTATAAACTGGCTCAAGTCTGAAAACTGATTGAGGGGCTCTGACTCTCTGATTTTATGATTAAAGTTAAACTTTGTTTCATGTGACCTGGAAATTTTCTGTTTATACAGATCAAGTAAAAATTTAATAGGCTTCCTATCTATTTCACTTCTAGGAACACCGTGATTAACTAGCCCACGCCACAGATCTGTGTGAGTCAGAATATTCTAATTGCTGCTTTGACTCTGCCACCCAACACGGTAACTACGCCCACCTTGCCTTTGGCAGTGGAATGCTGCCACTTGGCCTCGCCACTCTGGATCCAATTACTCCCATTGCATTTAGGTTTTCCAATTAAGTGGCTGTGGTTCCTACTCTAAGATCTAGCCTACAAAGAGTAATCACAGAGTTTAAGAATACTGGGGCTTCCTTTAGTAATTTATTTCTTAAAGTATTCTAAAAGTGTGTCTTCTAGATCTCAGTGTTTGGGAATAGGTCATAAATTATAAATCCACTGTTTCTAATCTCCCTAAGCCTGTTAATCCCTTTCTCTACATTAAACGTAGGGAGAGCTGTCATTTCCAGTTTGCTCACAATGGGCCATCTTTTGATTGTGTTTTAGACAATCAACCAAATAAACTGTTAGAGCCTTAACTCCCAAGCTGTAAAATTAAATGCAGAATCTCTGCTTAGTGGGCCCATATCAATTAATTCAACCTGATCCAACTTTATGTTCCTTCCTTCATTATCCCACACCCTTAATATCAATTCCCACACATATTCCCTAGATTTCTGCTTCTATAAATTAGAAAGGTTAGGTAGTTCTTTTGGAATATAGCATGCCTCCTCATGGGCCACACTGTACTTCCCCTTTAAGGGCCTGCTGGGACTTGAATCTAGTTATTTGTCTAGAAGGAAAGAGGGGTGTTGGAGGCAGGTCTTGTGGAGAATCAGCAGCATCTTGCATGGCAACTGCCTCAGAGAAGGCAATTCCTCAGGTGATGCAGGGCTAATCCCCAGATGGAGGTAAAAGACTCAGACCACTGTGAATAAGGAGATGACTCCCACTTGAGGTGGGGCTGCTGTTGACATTGGGAGTAGGGGGTCATTTCTGCTGGTATTGGGGATGCCACTTTTGCTGGGGTTAGGGAGACCAGTTTCTCTTGGGGGTGGGAGCTAAGCTCTACTGAGGGCGGGGAGACTTCTTTCACTGGCAAATAAGATACTCACAATTAAGGGATTCAGTGTACCCAGCTTCCTTAAGAGTCTTCCCACATACCCCTATCCCAACTCGAAAGATCCCATTCTTTCACAGTGTCCTCACTTTACCAGTATATACCTTGTGAGGCTGAGAGTTTAACTTGTGCTGTAATTCAGCCAATTACAGGATGAGATCCTACATTTGATTTTCAGCAATTTCAGCCCTGCACTAGAGATAATGCTGTCTCTCAAAGCACACCTATAAATTTATGTAGCACTTAAGGTGGGAATTTGAATCCCTTAGGTCATTTTTTTTGTAAACTATTTTTTCCAGTGATTCAGTGTCATATTCCTTAGTTTTCCAAAAGTGTTCAAAACTAACATGTACAGCGTTACTAAGCTCCTTGCAACTTATAAGTGGTTGATGAGGAATATCCAATGCAGATATTTTGTGTATATCTACAAACAGTTTGTGCCACAGACTATTTTGTGTCTCTTTACTACTGGAAAGGGAGTCATTATCATCTTTAAATTGTGTCAGATTAGAAAGCCAATTTCAGAAACCCTAGAATAAATTAAAAAAAAAAACCCTCACTTGAAAACCTGTTTCTCTAGAACCAATCTCAGTACCAAAATCTGTATTAGCCAGTGTTCTCCAGAGAAACAGAACCAATATATAATACGTGTGTGTGTGTGTGTGTGTGTGTGTGTGTGTGTGCAGTCATCCCTTTGCTATCTGTGAGGTTTCAGGATGCCCTAGTGAATACAAAAATCTGAGGATGCTCAAGTCCTTTATATGAAATTATGTAGAATTTGCATATAACCCACACAATCCTCCCATATACTTTAAATCATCTCTAGATTACTGAGAATACCTAATACAATGCAAATGTTATGTAAATCACTGTTATACTCTATTGCTTATGGAATAATGATGTGACAAAAGTCTGTATATGTTCAGTACAGATGCAACCATCCATATTTTCCTGAATATTTTTGGTTTGCAATTGGTTGAATCTACAGATTTGGAACCCACAGATACAGAGGGCTACCTGGAGAACCAATAAAAACCAGTGGTATAATTCAGTTTAAGTCCAGGGCCTTGAGAACAAAAGAACTGATGCTGTAACTCCCAGTCTAAGTCCAAAAGCTTGAGAACTAGGATGGGTGGTGGGGATGGTGGCTCATGTTAGTCAGTCCTAGAGTCTGAAGGCCTGAGAACAGGGAGCTTCAATATCTGTCCAAGGGCAGGAGAAGATGGGTAGCCCAACTAAAGAGGAGATAATTTTTCTTGATTCTTTTTGTTTTATATGGTCTCTCAATGGAATGGAAATGCCCACCCACATAGATGAGAGTGGTCTTCTTTACATAGTCTACCAATTCTGATGCTAATCTCTTCCGGAAATACCCTCAGAGATACACCCATAAATAATGTGTTGCCAGCTATCTGGGCATCTCTTACCCCAGTTAAGTTGACACATAAAGTTAAGAGGCCATCTACTGTTCCCATGCCATTTTTCAGATGATGAAGCTTGCCACAGTTTATCCAAGAATACACAGAGCGGGAAAGGTAGGATTTAAAGTTTGCCCAACTAATGTTCTCCCAGTGATTTCCCTCTGGGTGCTATCTCTTGTAATGGAACCGGGGAGAACTATAGGGAGGAAGACAATTTCTGCCTTCCCAGACTCACAGGCTGATGGAAGAAGATCCCATAAAGCATTTACTGTAAAAAGGAGGAATTGGCAGAGGAAAGTGCTGGAGAAAAGAAGACAGAAGAACAGAGAGATTGCTAAGCTCAGGTGTAAGGTGACCAGGTCTGCCTGGGATAGTGGTAGCTTGGATGGAGAGGAAAGAAAAAATGTGAGGAAAACATATAGGGAGATTTGACCACGTTTGTATAGAGACTACCTTCCTTGGCTCATCCTTAAATGAGATGAAAATCCTGTAGCACCATTTCTAGCATTTGTCAAGTACTCAAGAAACATGAGCTTTAGTGACCATAGACTGGACATATAGGCTACTAATGAGAAAATTCCTGTACTTGAAGAAGCCTTACTTGCTAGGCCAATTTTATATTTTTGCTGGACTGCCATAGGGTTAGAATTAAAGGCACATTAAAATATATGTTAAAAGGCCAGGAGTGGTGGCTTATGCCTGTAGTCCCAGCACTTTAGGAGGCTGAGACAGGTGGAACACTTGAGGAGTTTGAGACCAGCCTGGGCAAGATGGAAAAACCCTGACTCTACAAAAAAATACAAAAATTAGCCTCTCATAGTGGTGCATGCCTATAGTCCCAGCTTCTTGGAGGTGAGACAGTTGCTCGAGCCTGGAAGTCGAGGCTGCAGTGAGCTATGATCACGCCACAGCACTCCAGCCTGGGCAACAAAGTGAGACCCTGTCTCAGAAAAATGTATTAAAGATATATTATAATGTGAATGTGTCCTTAGTATACATTAAGTCTTTATGTTTGTAAAGACATGCCATGTTCTTTCCCTTTCTCTCTCAGCATATGCACACACACTTAACTCTCAGTGTGTGCGTATGTGTGTATACATAGGTATACACATGGTGCATTAGCTTTATCTAGAAATAGATATATATACATTAAGCTACTGTAAAGTTTATGCACACTTAAAGGCACATTCATTCTACATAGGTATATTTCTCTATAATGTACTGTATATCTATTTGTATATTAATACATTATTCTGTCATCCATCATAAATTTCTAGCCTCCTATAGGAATTCAACTTTGTATTTTGTGACCAATGCAAGGACAGAGATTTTGCATCCTTAAATTATATTCAGCATATACTCTGTGAATAAAAATGCCATAACTTAAAATATTGCCATTGGTATTTGCATAATGCCTTTCATTACTGTTGAACAAAAACTAATCTATGTATTCATTCTGTGGAGAAAAGTTGTAGAAATGTAATACATGAGATATTTTCTTCCTTAGTCCTTAAAATGATAGTGTAAAAAAAAATGGAATTCTTTTGCCTGGAGATGAGACTACCCAAAGGTATAATATTTCCAGAATGGATATTAAGAAGCTGTAGGAAGTTGCTGTATCTCTTTTTCAGCGAGGCCACAAGAGAAAATGATTGTAGCAGGAAGTTGTGGTTTAGGCTTTAAAATGCCTTTGCTGTGAGGTAACATAGAAGGAATGGGCCATTAAAGAAGTTTGTATATCCTTTCTTTTTTTGATGTTTCAACAAAATAACCAGTTCTTTGAGGTTAAGTCAGTCTATTCTACAGCCTATTTTAAGAAGAAATGGTGCCTTCCTACCCCCAGTGGTGTGAATCTAGGGAACTAGTTTAATATCACCACAACCCTGATACACATTTCTTTCCCCCACAACATGTGCTAATTGGACCAGGGATGGGAATTGTAATGAAGGGAAACAATTAGAAAACTGGTCAGAGATACCATGAAGCCTGGCATTAAAGAATAAACTGGACCTATCCTACTTACTTTTTCAATAAATTACTCTAAAGGAAATGCATTTTAACGATGGGAGCTGAAGTTGAAAGGAAGCTATGAAATACAGGGGAGTTGTCTCCAGCCATTTGCTTAAAAAAGTAGCGTGCAAACACACACGCACACACACAAAATAGAATGACATAAGACCTATTTGATAACAGGGTGACTGTAGTTAATTGTACATTTATAAATAAGAATATAACTGTATAATGTAACTGTTTATAAATTACTAAAAGAGCATACTGATTTGTTTGTAAAACAAAGGATAAATAGTTGAGGGGATGGTTACTCCATTTTCCATGATGTAATTATGCATCACATGCCTGTATCGAAGATATCTCATATGTCCCATAAATACATACATTAGATACCCCGTAAACCGAATATGGACCCACAAAGATTAAAAATAAAAAATGAGAAAAAGTAGCAGGTAATATGATCAAGCAGAGGAAATTATGACTAGAAAGTGGAGACTGGATAGATGCAGGAGAGAGAAAATCAACAAGAGTGCTCGTGTGACCAATGAGAGAGCTGCTTTAATTCACGTCTTCCCAGACCTCATACCATGCACC